CAAACGTTGCTTGCAACAATCAGGCAGCAATTGACAGCACTCTGATCTAGTGGCATACAGGCATCGTCAGATTGACAGTACTCTAGCCCAATAATGTTGGGGGATCCAGTGGGGGCGGCAGTCATATTTCAGGGTGACTGTGCCACTCTTTATCACAACCCTGCTAAAAGTGCCAGTACGTGCGCTCATTGGCGCCCCTTCAGCTCGTGGCGTCCTAGGCGACCGCCTAGCTCGCCTATGCCTAGAAACGGCCCTGGTTGTAGCTGTATACAGTCCAGCATTTCTTTGCTGCCTTCTCTGCTTTTGATGTCGCTATTTGGGAACAGGTGCACATGAGTTATTCAAAAAGGGCTGAAGATTCTTTGATGCCACACACTGTATAGTTTATTATATTTCCAGAGGATACGCACACTACAGAGTCTTGCTAATGAAGTTAAGACATGCTACAGATTCTAAAACAGAATAATATTTAAACAAAATATCCACAAAGTATCAAAATCATTTTAATAAGTCATGGTTTCCAGAAATTTTTTTACAGCACAAGCTAAATTATACAAGAGTTATTTCCAGTCATCAATTTTGTTTTGGCTGAAAGTGGTGTACTAAGAGCACTGATATACAATCCAACAACACAACCAATTCTTTATACATTTTTTTTTTTTTTTTTTTTTTTTTTTTACATATTTACAGTATTACCATGATCAATGTACAATGTGCTTTCCTGAAGGAAACAGAAATTCAAACATTTAACATCACGTCTTTAAAATATAGTGTGATATGAGTTTTGCTTCAAATTAACTAAACAACAACTCCAAAGATGATAAATATAAACAAACCCAAAATTTATAAAAATAATTAATAATATAATAAATAAATAATGAAAAATAATAATAAAAACTAAAATAAACAATAACATTTATAAATATTCATATTGGTGACTAGATAGTCACAAAGTTTAACAGTCACAACATATAAGAAAAGCACATGAAAACATTTCCTAATGATATTTCTACTATCTCCATTGACATAATCCTATAATGGAAAACAACCAACTCTTAAAAAAACGATGATTCATTCAGAGATGAAGCAAGTGACTGTTTGTATGAGTGAGTCATTGAATCATTCATCCAACCGATTCTAATTGATTCAGGAATGCAATCATTGTGCATGTTGCTAAGAGATGTGCTATGATTAATTCTGCCGTGCCTTTTAGAATTATTTTCATTGGTGGAGCAAAAACAGACAAAGCAACTTACTAATTACTCAGTTTCAACTTATTGCTTATTGGACATTTAATGGATAAAAACAAACACTCACAATCCCACCTTTTGACTGACTTTTTGAAGAAACTGCATTCTTGCTCTTTTAGTGTTTAATTATATATTTTTTGGTATCCTGTTTCATACTGCACAGGCATATATTTAATATATTCTCAAGTGGAATATACCCTGTTTGACCCTCTTAATGGCTGTATTGCTATTTTTAACTGGTCAAAGGTTGTTAAAGTGCAGGTGCATAATAGCTCACCTTCAAACTTCAAAAATGCTGAAAAGGGGGGTAAAACGTCATAATACATCATAACACCATAATACGGCACACGTTCATCAGACTCATCTGAAAGCCTATAAGTGGCCCACTCTGAGAAGCTTCGCCAGCACTTTTCCAAAATGGCCCCAGGGAATTCTAAATACTTACCCACTCATATTCCATAAAAAAGCAAAGTATGAGTAACATTATCCATCTAAAGCAGGAAGGTAGGGATGTTTAGATCCCGTTTTGTTAATAGCATACGGATGATATGGTTATGTTATTATCTCTTTGTTGTGCTGAGCCGGGACCACTGCCGCCATGGAAACCTCAAAAAGCATTAGCATACCTGGCTAATATTTCTGTTATTGAGGAAGGTTAAGAGCCCAAGTGCCTAATGCATCGCAGTTATCTGAGAGCTACTGTTGCGGGTTCTTCTCACAGTGGTTTTGGTACATAGTGCACAGGCTGCCGGACTGCCATGGTGTATTGTGAAACCTAGCTAATAAGAGTCATTATCCCACACAAGAATTAGCACAAATTCACATTCTGGATACGATTACAGACCTCAGCCAAACAAAGAAGTCTAAAGTAACCCTACGTATTGGTCTTGTAGGTGAAGGAGGAGGAGGTTCAGGTCTGGCGTACTACATGGGACTAAAGTCTGGAAATCAGAAAACACCTCACCACTTCATCTCCAGCCTCTGAGCAAGGTCAGACTCACTGAGTGTGTAATAAATAGGAGCTAGTCCAAGAGCCATTATCTTGCCTCCATTGCACGAGGAGTGCGGTGACCTGGCATTCTAACAAATGGAGGGGAAAACGCGGTCTGGAGATGTAAATCCCTCCTCCGGTTCCCCCATGAATAGTATTGCTCAGAGGCGCTGACCCGAATGGGAGTGTACCACCCAGATCAGAAATGACGGTGGAGGGGAAGACTGGGCTCCCGTTAGCAGAGGAAAGGGTGTGTAAAAAGAAATTATGATTAGGAAGAATAAATGAGATGTCACGCTGAGCAAAATATTACCATCAAACGGACTTCCTTGGTCAGGGTTTGAGTGACAGCCAGCATGAAAAATGTGGGATGCGGGGTAGCAGTTGGCTTGTGCTCTTTATTTGTCCCTGTGTGGATGAGGAGAGAGAGAGAGAGAGACGAGAGAAAGAGATACTTTTATCTTAGTAGAATAACAGGGACATCAAAGAACTATGGCTTCCTGTGTGGACAATTGATTTCATGATATGTTTTGATTGAGAGTAATAGTTGAATGTACACCTTTTGGAACAATACAGATACTGGTATGAATCTCTAACAATAAAAAAAAAAGTCGATGCTCACTCATCCAACTGATCCTCTTACAGTAACACTCAATATTGTATATTTATTGACCTTTTAACACTGCTGTATAGTCATGGTCTGGGGAATTGCTAAAGGTGCTGAAGCTCGGCTTGTGTAAAAACAATATGCTTGGAATATCCCCGAGGCTTTCTTCAGAGAGGCAGCAAAAAAATCTGGTATTTTGGCATATTATTTAGCAAATATGGTTTATGTATTTATTTATTGCAGTTTGAGTAACAAAAAAAATAATATATAATTATTTTTTTCTTTTTATATTTCTTTTTTTTTTTTAAGCAGATCCATATACATTGTGCAGTATTGTTCCTAGCTAGGACTGACTCATTTTCGATCACTCTTTCCACATATTTCTGTATGTCTATGCAGTTACTATGGAAAGCGATCCAAAACAGAGATCCAATATTAATACTTGCTAAATGACAGTGCTCAAAAGTAAATCAGAATTTTGTACCGTGTGAACAGAATCTATCTACATTCTTGCTCAACTCAATCAGTCCTTGCAGGGCCTATTGCATCTCTGACCTTTTTTTCAACTTGCCTTCGCTGGACAACCACAGTAATGTTTTAACATGACATCTGTCAAAACATATTTGGAAAATTAATGCTTTTTTATTTTGTTTAGTACTATTTTATCAATTGAGAAATTGCTTATGTAAGCTAATTTGACTAGTAATCCTAGTTTTTCATTTGGCTGAAACATCTGCAATATTTGAAATCTCCACATTTCATCACGTCATCCTTTCTCGTTGAGCTTGCAGTGTCTGTGCAATAATTTGACTTTATAATCCCTGGGAAAATAAAATCATTATGAATTTGTCCAAATGTATGTTATAGAGATGCTTTTTCATTTTTGTGAAAACTCGCACACTGTGGATTACAACATCATAACTTGATGGCCTTCGGGGGAGTCTTAGATATATTTAAATTGATCCCCATTTCATACATTAAAAGCCATTTAGTTATTAGATGCTTGGAAGAATGTGATTGCAACAGATAGGAGCAGTTTGAGAAAGAATTAAAAAAAATGAAGTCTAAAATCTCATGATTTTGTGCAGCTGTAGAGGAGCAATATGGAGATGGGTTTTATCCCAGGAATTAGCAGAGCTGCTCAGTTGCCCTCCCTCTATGTTGTTATTAAATCTCCCCCAAGAGCTGCAGGGAGAAGTGCATTAGGAGTGCATTAAACCACTTCATGACACATTTATGGCATTTTCCTCACTTTTGATTTGTGTCCCCCCACAGGTGGAACTTCCCACCATGTGACCGCAGCTGGAGCCGTGCAAACGACAGCACGGAGTCGACATATGGACACTGAGCATTGTGGTCCAGTAAATGGAATGAAACAAGCTGATCTTTCATAGCCCTCAAAATTCAAGATGCGTCTTAAAAACCGGTGTCCAGATCCAAAGCTGTGTTTTTTTTTTTGCATTTAACTTCACATAATAAATCAAAATAACATCCAGATTCTAATCAGTGTTGTTACTGTTAACTACAAATAAAACCATTAAAAAAACATTTTGAAATAAAGGTGAAATAAAATAAATATAAATGATGGAAAACTTAAAAATATTGCCTTGGCAACTAACTGAAAAAAAGTATTAAAATGACTAAAAATAAAACTGAAATAACAATAAATAAAAAATATATGAAAAATGAATATACTTAAAATGAAAGCTGAAAATATAAAAATAAAAGCTAATTCTAAATATGAATACTATAATTGTATATGGAAATATTACTAAAATAACAATGTTTTAAATTAATGGATTTAAAGAAAATAGATCAATATATTATAGTAACCATCACATTAAAGAATTGCTCAGCTGGTGCTAAACTGCTTCCTGTCATTTAGTTTGATGGATGACTAAAAGCAAAAGATAGCCATGTTGTCTGGCCTTTCTTGATGCTATCATGCAAGAAGCCTCTGTAGAGCTGTTCTGAGAGAGTATAATGTTTCACCAACAGTGCCTGACAATAGATTGTGGCTGGACTGACAAGACCTTAGGGAAGATATGATGCCCTTTGTCACCATTTGGCTTCAGCCTGGACCTAAACCATTGCATATTTACAAAATGGAGTTCAACAAATTATATTAAAATGACGCCATGTGAGATGCCACTTTAAATGGTTTTGAGTGATTTTCCTTTTGTTTGATTATCAGTAGTCTGAACCAGTCAGACATAGATATTTTTGTCCATTATTTTTTCAAACTCACTGTTTTTTGTACATTAATACCAGATGAGCACTTTGACCAAGAAATGGGTTTGACTATCCCTGCTCACAGCCAAACCTAGACATGCACACCATTCCCCCAAATGTTATGTTGATCTACCGTGTACTTTCAAGTCAGCCTATAGTTGCCTTGGCCAAATATCAAGATTTTGCAGATGGCACTGGCTTTGTCAGTAGACATTCATTTCGATATGTACACCTGGAAACACACTGGTCAGGATATTCATTATTCCACTTCATTTTCAGGCCAAGGTCAAGAGTAGTATGAAAATAAATGCAAAAAACATAAGGAGCTTGAAGTGGAGCATTTTTTGATCTCTCCCCATGCCAGGTCTCTTATCATGGAAGGAATAGCCACAAGCCTTTGGTTCTGCCTCTCCCTATTATTCTGCAGTTGTTCAGAGGCTTCTTAAGGCTTTTGGAGGTAATGAATACCTCTTGAGCGAGTCGAGAATCTCCTTCATTTACTGTTGATTGTGTCTGCGGAGGTACATATGAAGTACCGTCAAATTACATGCTGTGTTATACATATTGAGCTGCCTGCAGAATCTCTGTATGCCCCTTCAAATGCAGAGGGAGCTGATTTTAAGACAAGGTCTGCTCTTGCTCGAATTTATTCAGCCCCAAATCCTTTGACTGGATTACTGTTATTAGAGTCATGGCCACGCATGCTGTGATGGAGAGCTAATCTACAGAATCACAGCGGGAGGAAACACAAAGAACAAGAGGAGTGATGTCTAATCAAGCCGTTGTACCTGCAGGTTACGACCACAGGATTTAAAAATAGCTCTTCAGTTACGTAGAGTATGTGTATCGCATGATCACTGCTATTTGAGCATATGGGTAAGGTCTTTGTACTTAGAGTGCCATTCTAGTTTTGCTATTATGTTATGTGTCTGTTAAGTTTTTCCTCTTTAAAAATGAGAAAGTCAACAGCATCGCTGTATACAAAGTAATATCTCACAGTCCACCAATGAGTGATGCTACACAATCACAAAACAAGTACAGATTCTACACTTTAGCAATACATCTTTGATGTTCAGTATAATATATTGAATTAAATATATATGCATGCACGCAATTCATTATTTCTTAGCGCAAAGAAGCTATGTGTGGCGAGCCTTTTTCTTATATAATGTTAATATACATTAGGAGCGGTACTTCAGACCAATGAGATTTGAGTGTGGGCGGGTCTACCCGGCACAGTGACACAAAAATATAAACCAAGCGATGGAGAAAATCTAATGACAAGTGATTTTTATTTCTGTGGTGCAGCCCCACCCACACTCATATATAGTTTGGACAAAAACTCAGATAATACCTTATTAGTTGTTGCTTTATCAAGTCACATCTGCTTAGGATACAATGTTAAACCAGCTGAAACACGACGGACTTTTTGTATCAGCAACTTATTAGGAGAAGAGAAAAGAAAATAAGAGGAGATAGCTTAATATGAAACTACACAGAATAATAGATAAATGAAATTAGTTTAGAAAACAAGAATGGTCCATGAAACATTTTGTCCACAGGAAAGTGCACCTTCTTTTGTAAATCAGAAATATAAGCATTTTCTTTGTATGAAAGCTGTTAATTTCCAGTCTAGTCTAAATTCCTTTCTCTTTGCTATTTGATATCTCATCAAAATTGGGAACTTCCCTGCAAACAAATCATGTCATGAGACTGCGTTGGATGCTACATTGTGTATCCTTTCCAAAAGCTTTTTGTCCACTGATCTTAAAATCGCATATCCTGCAAAGTGCATAAGGGCATGAAGGGGTCAAACACTGGTCTTTTGCGAATGACATTCTAGTTTGAGCACTGGCCCAAATCTCACCACCAACATCTCACTCGGCAGGTCTAGAGAAGACTCTGATTGCAAGGTCGGGAAGTCTAAAGTTGGCAAGCCATTCTTTTCCATTCTTTTACCTCTTTAATAGACTGCTATGAGAGGAGCAAGCAAGGCTAAAAATGTTCTGTGTATCTCGGTCACTCTCTCACACCATCTGCGTGAGTCCTGGTGTCCAGACGTCTGCAGATACAGCAGATGGCAGCATTACTCTTGTGCTCTACATATTTTCAATATAAATTTCATTCAGATTCTCTTTCCCACAAAAAATGATTACATCACAGAAACAAGAAGCTTTGCTCACTGGCAGAATTACTCTCAGCGATGAAAGACCAAAAATCAAGAGGAGGTTTAGAGGTCAGACAGTGATGCTCTGTATATAAACAAAAGTACTCTATGATCTCTTCATCATGATCTCTTTATGCTCTTTGGACAAAGGGAAGCGAATCGAGAATGTATGGGGATGCAAAGGTAGAATGTGCACCTTTTGATGAATAACCAAGTGATGAAAAGTGCTTCAAGTCATTATCAGACACTAAAAATGAAAACTTTCAAATTGCATTCTATATATTTCCCTCCACACCATAAGAAAGTGAAGTACACATGTAGCAGGATGCATTTTCATTTGGAACGTCCTTCAGAATTAATCTGAGGAACAACATTACCTTATACATGTATAAAATTCCCAAATTTTCTTTAGTTCTGTCCAAAGTATCACGTGGCATTAAAAAACTAGAGCTATTTACATTATCTTAACAATGAACCTATTTAGTCAAATTTGAATTCCTTAACATTATTAACGTTGGAAACCACAGTTAAGCTGAGTGAGAATTTTATATATATTGATGCTATCAATTCTAAATGATGCTCATTTGCTGTCCTATACATCAAAGAATCTTAGTTTAAAAACGGCCTGCAATGACTTTGCACTACTGATACATTTCAAGAAAGCATTTTAGTTGGAGTCCAGTTTTAGTGCATAAACTAAAAGAAACATTGAGTGTTTTAGCATTGAGATGTTACAAGGATCCTAAGCATCTACAGTACATCATGTTCTGTAGATGCTATAGTACATGGCACATTATATGAAAACATCAACAACCAAAAAAAAAAAAAAAGCTCTGGAAAAGCTAATTCTGCTTGCTCAAAATGCATCCCAATAGCTCTTTTCCAAAAGTACACTATGCAGGACCATTTCACCAAGTGGCTCTGTGAATCTTATCTGGCACTTTCCGCTCTTTAAAAGAGCATAGAAAGCATTGTGCCAGTCAGTCACTTCAAACCTGTGTCAGAAATACTCATATACAGTTCATTATCATCTGTAGCAGATACAGTAATCAGTGCTGCCATGGAGCCTGGCTAGATATTTCATTGTGTTGTTTGTAAACTGTTGAGAGTTACTTGTGAAAGTGAATATTTTGAATTGAAAATAGGCTAATTCTTCAAAATTTGAAAGCAGGTCAACATTTATTAGTTTATTATTATTATTATTAGTTTATTAAATTATTATTTATTATTTTCTTGCTACGTGTACTGCGTTAAGCTAACTGAGGCTTGTTATAGCACTTGTATATCATTGCTCTTTTGTTGATTTTGATTGCTTCCATTGTCCTCATTTGTAAGTCGCTTTGGATAAAAGCGTCTGCTAAATGACTAAATGTAAATGCATTTTAATAGATAAAAATAAATCTTATATAGCAAAATGCATGTGGTTTTATTCTTAAAACCAAATAAGCAAACAATTCAAATAAAATGGTTATATATATATATATATATATATATATATGTGTGTGTGTGTGTATATGTATGCATGTATGTATACAATCAATGCGAATGAGCTGAGCTTTCTAAATATTTTTATCAGCCTCATTTTTACATGGCATACATCTCATCAAAATGCATTCATGTACAGTTTTTTTTTTTTTTTTTTTAAATCCAGTTTAATTATTGTATCATGCAATATCGACGTGCAAAAAAGATAACATCTATCTTCACAAAATACATTTTCAGAACTATAAAAGGCTGACTTAAGAATGCTGATAACTTATAAAACTTTAACCATGCTAAGCTAACTCGGCAGTCTTCTAGCCCCAGGGGATGTGTGTTAATGTCCACATGGCACCCTGTTTTTGTTTGGCCTACGAGATGAATCCCACCCTTCTTTTTTAACAAGGACTAGTTAGTTTAAGGGGGCAGAAAACTCTCAACCATTATTTCCTTGGGTGGATTGCTTGCAGCCTTTTTCTCACATGGTTCAATAAAGAAGGACCCTCCTACAATGATGTGCATGTAAGATGCATTCTGTCTCAAGTGTTTGTGGCTGTTTTATTGAAATAGTCCAACCACATGAGGGGCCAAGATACAAATAGATAAAATAT